GAGCCAAAAGAGCCAGTTCTCTAAAAAGAGCCAGAATTCCCATCACTAATTTATTGCACAAAACTACTAAAGTAAAAATGAACACAGGGAAGCTCTTTTCTTCAGGGTCTCCAAGGCCAAACAAAGCACCCCCTTTAACTAAAAAACAAACCAAGAACTCTCTACCCAAAAACAAAATACAATGGTCGAGGTCCCTGTCTCGCCAAAAACAGGAGATAACAATTGAAACAAAAATGGCAGAGAACCTCTGCCTGCTTCCACTGTGATTAACGATTAACACTGTAAAGGCACACCTTTGCTCACAATAAAGAAAGAAAACCAAAGTTACACAGAGTTTAAATTCTCTCTCTCACACACACACACAGCTAAAGCCTGCTGCCCAAACCACTGTAGCTCACGGCTCTGGCAAATGGGGGAAGTGGAGGGGGCGTGGCGGTTTGAGATGGCAGTCGAGCTGCAACACACCTCAGCTGCGGCTCATCAGGCAGACCTGGAACACAGGAGAGGGAGAAAAAGGCTCTCTCACATAGGGAGAGCCACGCAAGGTCAGCGACCGTAACATAAAATATCACATGAAGTAAAACAGATATACTTTTAACACGTCACCAAGTTTGTTATCGAGATTAACACTGGGTCCTGGACAGTGCATCAGCTACCACATTGTCCATACCTCTCTGATGTCTGATGTCTATGTTGTACTCCTGAGCAAGCAACGCCCATCTCCTCAATCTTTGGTTGTGATTGTACATATGCTTTAGGAATACCAGAGGGTTATGGCCAGTATAAACCATACCCCATGTACACGTCGAAATGCTGCAAAGCAAGCATCATGGCCAGGGTTTCCTTCTCAATGGTGGAATAGTTGAGTTTATGAGGCTTGAACTTAGCTGAGAATTGGAAATTGGGTGACTGATGCCATCAACTCTGTCTATGAAGTCTTCCATGCGAGGCAATGGATGTGAATCAGGGACTGTGACTGCATTTACCCTCCTAAAATCAGTACAAAAACAAGGAGAACCGTCTGACTTTGGTGTCAGCAGACATGGAGATCTCCAAGAGCTATGGCCAAACCATTTCCAAGCAGGTACTGTACCTCTTTTTTCATTAACTCCCTCTTGAGCAGGGGGCACCGGTATGCGTGTTGCGGTATGCGACCGTAGCACTGAGCTTTGAATTGATCAGCGGTAATAAAAACCGAGAGAGGCCGACAGTGATCTGACAGTGACAATATGTTAAAAACACAACAGCCTTATTGAACGCAGGATTCATTATGTCACCATTTAAAAACTGGATAGACACTTGCTGTTGTATCTCTTTCCTGACCACCTCCATACATACTGATGATGATTTGAACCAAAAATTTCAAATTTGGATTTATCATTTCATGAAACCTGTTGCCACTGATTTTTAGTTCAAACACTCTTTTTTCCCATTTTCCCCTCCCTGCCTTCTTGACAGCCACCAGATCATCTGTAAGGTCCTGTGTCACATCTGGATTGTTCTTCTTGAGTTCATGACTTTAAGATACTGTTCATCTGCTGTGACAGTTTTTTTTGTTGGCTTGTTTTGTTTTGTTGCTTTTAGGCTTGAAACTTCTTCTTTTGCTGCTTCAGACCTTTTTCAGGACACACTGGACATCATGCTGAGATATTCAAACAATTCACCTCATAACTGTTTGGGAATCTCCGTGTTGGTAAAAATACTATTGTGTGGTACTGCATTCTGTATGATGGGATAAAATAAAATGTGCTATTGTGTAACTGCTGCTATTATGTATTGTGTAATCTATTCTAGCTGTGGATCTTGGCATGCTGAGATCTCACACCTGAGATATTTTCCTTTGAAAGAAGCCACACATTAAAGAAAGACAGCCGTGTTTACTTCATTTATTTATTTATGAATATATGAAAAGAGAGCTACAACAATCACCAGTGTCATTGGATAAAGTGCACTTCATAAGAGCAGTGTCATCATTGGAAAGTCTTCTGACATGACCAGTTATATCACCACTACTCAGTAATGCACATGATGATTCACAAGTCACAGGCACACTAATGCACATTGTGACGAATAATGCACACTTAATAATGCACACCATGACTCAGCAGATATACACAGATATACACAGCTGTGTGTACACAGGGCTAAAAGTGTTACTTTGACATGCTGCCGTATAATATAAAACTAGATATAGTTTGACAAAAACACTCATATGAACATACAAATGTGCAAAAGGCGTCGACTGAGAAGCAACTGGCAAACAATTGTCTTGTTTTGGCAGTATTAACATTACAATCAGTTTACAATTACAGAGTTGCTCAGTGGAAGAATTCAAATCTCCCAAAGCTAACATTAAAGGAAGAGTTTGACATTTTGAAAAATAGTTTCATGGTTATGGTGAGAGTTAGATGATTGGATTGATACCACTGGGGCCAATAAGGGAGCACAATTCAACGTCCTGTTAATCTCATTTAGCTGTATTTCAGTTAGAAGCTCAACAGAGTAGTGATGGTAAATGTGATTCTTTTTACTGAATCGAGTTTTAATGAGTCACTCACCAAAGTGAATCGGCTTTTTGAGTCATTTGAGTCAGTTGACCAGAGAGTGCAAAAAATTTACATTTTCACTCAAACTTAATTTGTTTCTCTTTTCATGTAAATCCTACTGCTAAGATGAATGATTCTTAAAAAAAAA